TCAGTGTGCCTCTAACCATTCGGTGATCGCTACCAATTTTCACCCTCGCGATCACGGAGACATCACTGAACAGTTGTCGTCTGGTCGTCATAATGAAGTCAATCTCATTTTTTGTGGAACCGTCGGGGCTCGACCAGGTCCACTTCCTGTGGGGCCGCTTCTGGAAGAAAGAGTTCATCATAAAGAGTCCCTCTTTCTCCATGAAGTCGGCCAGCTGCTGGCCCCTTGGGTTCCGTTGCCCTATTCCAAATTTCCCCACTTTCAGCTCACCGTTCTCTCTTGTGCCTAGTTTTGCATTGAAGTCTCCCATTAACACCGTATATTGGGTTTTGGAGGAATGCATGGCTCTAGAGATATCCTCATACATTTCCTCCACCTCCTCATCGGGGTGTGCCAAGGTTGGTGCGTAAACCTGTATGACCTTCAGCGAATACCGTTTGGTGATTTTGAGTATAAGGTACGCAACCCTCGTCGACACACTCCTGATCTTTACAACGTTGTTAGCGAGAGACTTGTGGACGATAAATCCGACACCTCCTTGGGACAGATGATCGCCCTCCCGGTGATAGAGCAAGTTGCCGGATTCGAGGATTACCGTGTCCTCCCCCTCTCTTAGGACTTAGACGGATAATCCTATAATATGCCAGCGCAACTTGTCTATCTCTTCTTCCAGCTCCACAATCTTCTCGTCAGTCCTCAGGGTGCGTGCGTTGTACGATGCCAGGTCGAGTCGTCTAAGGTGGCAACCGAACCTCCACTGGAGATTCTTAGCACCCCCCGTCCCGCCGTTACCATGGTCGCCACCGTAGCCAGGAATAGCGGGGCCGCCGGGGACTGGGGGCCGTCTGTTTGTTGCTTTATTCATTGGGGGGTATTTGCCATAGTTGCCACGCTTGGCGAGCGGGTTGGCAACCGCAGTTTTTTTATTGTAATTTTGGCTACTATCAGGAAGATGCTGCTGCCCATCTCCTGCCTGTTTCCCTTTGTCGCCTTTTACGACACCCACGGGAGGATATGGGGTAGTGGATATTCTTGACCGCCACTACACGGCACTACGAGTGCTATCAGAGAAATGTTGAACGTATGTGAGAGCTATGCTAAGTCGCATGGTCTGGCCAGAAAAACCGAATTTATGGTCTTTAAGGCCGCCGGTAAGTATCCCGAATTTATACCTCCAATTTGCCTCGGTGGAGTGCAGCTGAACAGAGTTTTCCAATTTAAGTACCTGGGCCACATACTTACCGACGACCTTAGAGACGATTTAGACATAGAACGAGAGCGTAGGGCTTTGGCGGTCCGTGGTAACATGCTGGTCCGTAGATTCGCTCGTTGTACGGATGAAGTCAAGATTACGCTTTTTAAAGCATTTTGTCAAAACATGTACACGAGCGGTCTGTGGATCAGCTACACCAAAGGATCGTTAAACACCCTTCGCGTCCAGTATAATAATATCTTCAGGATGATGTTGAAACTTCCTCGTTTCTGTAGTGCATCTGAAATGTTTACGCAGGCGAGAACGGATGGTTTTCAGGCATTCATGCGCAAGAAAGTGGCGTCACTAATTAGCCGCGTACGGGGAAGTGACAACAGCTTCCTGTGGACGGTAGCAGATGATCCACATGCACCTATATTAAGGAGCTATGTGCAGACAATGTCCGGATCCGTGAATTATTTAAATTAAATTATTATTATAATTATAGTACTACTAACCCCCTTACTATTGGAATTAATTACTAACCCTTATGGACCTATGTTGTCTGAAAATAAAAAGATTTGATTTGATATGATAAAATAAAAACAAAATACAGGTCCTGCAAAAATACGATTTTTGATATAAATAGCAAAAATTTAAGTCCTCAAACTAAAACATACTTTAAGTTTGTTCACGCCGGGCCCAAGTTTGTATGGAATCAAGTTCATCTCCTCTCGGAATTTTTGCATAAACTGCTTGTATTTTTCGATTTTTAAATTTTTCGCTCTTGCTGAAGGAAATGTGCTATTGCTTTAGGCTTGGGTATGCTTAGTTGCTTTTGAAAATCAGGTTTCATAGGTAAGGTGACCTACCATTTTCCAAACGTCGCATAGTAGTTTAAAAAAAGATCCCCGCAGTATTGCTCTTCTGCCGTCAGTACTGAGACCGATGACTCCTTGATATCTTCTACTTCCCAATACTTGCCTAAATTTTCCGTGTTCTTTATGACAATGTGATAGTGGAACGTCTTTACATTGCCTAATAGAACCAAACCCATCTTGGTTTATTGTGCGATTGGAGCCTTAGCAGAATCCTTAATAAGACCGCTCATAACTATATCTGAATAGACGCTGGAATCTAATAGTAATATTTTAAACTGAACGCACATTTGTCCGCGCCGCACGCGCCGCACGTGCCGTACGCGCCGAATTTTACTTATGGCCTCGCACATTTGCCCGTACGCATCGTCCGCGCCGTAAGCAAATCTTTTGTATTGCCAAAAAATTTTGTAGTTTTTTCCAACCACTGGTGTGAAACGGTACAGTGAAATTGATCGCTCGAAATCACTATGGAAAGAAATATAGTAATAGCCTGCTTATTCGTAGAGGAAGAAGAAAATAAAATTCGAAGAAAAAGAAGATTCTGGATTCATAATATTAATTTAAAAAGGCATCGAGCATGGAGGTATGGAGAATATGAAAGGGATATACTTTATTTAAAGACTTATTAGATGATGATGAACGATTTTTTTAGATATTTGCATTTAACATACAAGAAATTTCAAGAATTGCTACATATACTAAAACCATAACTTTCTATGGAAAACTCAAGATTTAGAAGACCAATTGAACCAGAGAAAAGACTTGTTGTATGTTAGAGGTATATTATTTCACTTAAATGTATTTGCGGATTTGAGATTACGATTCTAACATACACAAGCAGTTATTTTTGTTGCTACAGACTCTCAGATGATTGGATTTATTACAGAACAGCGTCTAATTGAGCGCGGCGTGTAGCTATACGGGTGGCTAGGCTGAGACTGGCCCTACTCTACAACTACATGGAGCACGAGCGGCGAACGGCGAGTCACGCGATGGCGTGGTATATATATATATACACGCCGCGCTCAATTAGACGCTGTTCTGTAATAAATCCAATCATCTGAGAGTCTGTATATACGAATTGCTACATATACTAAAACCATATCTTTCTATGGAAAACTCAAGATTTAGAAGACCAATTGAACCAGAGAAAAGACTTGTTGTATGTTTGAGGTAATTATTTTTGTTGATAATTAAGTTATCAAGTATAATTGGGTTTTTGAATTAAATTTAACAATTTTTTTGTTAGTTTAGTATTTAAATAACTTATCACTAAGTATACATATTGATAATCAATGCAAAACAAAATCAAATTATGTATGATTAATTACGAATGAATTAAAAGTTATAAAATACAAAAATTATCATATAAGTCGAAACCACCAGTTATAGTGGAAAATCCACTAAGTTGGCAACATTAGACAACACAGAGTATTAGCACGCGCCGCGCTATATGACTTCATCAGCATTCATCCTTCGATATCGTATACCTACCGCATTTTATAAAATTCGGCGCGTACGGTGCGGGTGTAATGTGCGAGGTTTCATATGATTTCATACAACGAATTCTAAAATGCGGCGCGTACGGCGCGTGCGGCGCGGACAAATGTGCGTTCAGCTTTAGATTGTATAAACCTTTGAATAAAACTTTAGTTCTTTATTTAAATTTGTTTAATTTGTACAGACATACACAATGCTTGTAATCGAGGACTTTAGAACACTTATATTATTTCACTTAAATGTATTTGCGGATTTGAGATTACGATTCTAACATACACAAGCAGTTATTTTTGTTGCTACAGACTCTCAGATGATTGGATTTATTACAGAACAGCGTCTAATTGAGCGCGGCGTGTAGCTATACGGGTGGCTAGGCTGAGACTGGCCCTACTCTACAACTACATGGAGCACGAGCGGCGAACGGCGAGTCACGCGATGGCGTGGTATATATATATATATATATATATATATATATATATATATATATATATATATATATATATATATATAATATCTTTATATATAAAAATAACGTGTCTCGTTGTTTGTCCGCGATGGACTCCTAAACTACTGAACTGATTTCAATGAAATTTTGCACTCTGTGTGCATTTTGGTCCAACTTGAGAGATAGGATAGTTTTTACCCGATAAGTGACCCTCAAATTTTTTTTATTGCGAATTTAAGGATTTTCATAGGAAGGGTCGTCGGAAAGGGCAGAACAACGTCTGCCTGCGGAGCTAGTATATATATATATATATATATATATATATATATATATATATATATATATATATATATATATATATATATTGTAGTGCCAAATAAGCTGACAGTTTACCTGATAGTAAGTGGATACTACAGCCTGGATGGCTACTGGTGTATAGTCACCCCAGACTAACATGTATTGATTTGCTATCTGCTACCATTACATTACATATCATTATTTAATGTTCTAATGCTTGGCGGTAGAAATAAGCAAATAAATGGTGACCATGTGGGATTCTAAACAGAAAAGGAAACCGAAAAACTAGTATTACTAGTTGAATAATATAAGGCACTTTTCATATCTTAGAAAGCAATCTTATAGAATACATGTTTTTATTAAATGAAAACCTAAATAAATAAATAAAACAAAGATTTAAACTAATTAATATAATATGTACATTTGATTTACAACACAACAATAACTTACAGTATAATAAAAAATGTAAGAATATCGCATAACGTCTCGTAGGCGTCGTTAAGATTCGACAGCATTTTCCAACCCAGGAGGGTTAAGCGTTTGGTCTGCCTGCCTTGGCAAGTATGGCAAAATCCCCTCTATGAGGCAATCAATGGGGGAGACCTATTTTCAACAGTGGACTATTATATGCTGTAATGGATGAATGGATATTACAACTAAGTTGAGTGTGTATATTGTTCCTCTTCTATGTATTTTGTTCTTTTCTTATAAATCTGTCATCAGGTAAAAATGCAGCTATGAATGCTGATGCTGAAACAAGACAAAATAATATTACTTTGTAATTTTTTGTCAGATTTTTTAAAATCCTTCGCTAGATATAGGCCATTTGCTAGATTTTTGACGTGTATTGGCGGCTGGGTAAAGAGAATCCATCGCCATATTGGATTTAAAATGACGTTACTAAGCTAGATGTACTTTTAAAATTCAGTTGCTAAATTTAATCCGAACAATTCGACCCCACAAACTTAACCTGGAATTCCAAAAACCCAGGGGTATAAAATAACAGGCGGATTGGAGCAACAAAGTTTTTAATCGCCAACATAGATCCGCCATCTTAAAATGTTTCTATCGCCAGCAGTGGACCTTTGTCGGACACCACAACATTTTTTCGAGCACCACCGAACAATCCCTTACCTTTGCCGAGTACTCTTTAAAATTGGTATGGCGGCCATTTTGTTTTCGCCATTTTGATTTTTTTTAACACCATTAAAATTGGTATTGACGGCTTCGCCCATTGGTAAGAAAAAGGGAGGTGGGCATGACAGAGAGAAAGGTGTGGTGGGGTTCGAGACTGCCAGTAAAGGACATCTACGTCCTCAGTAGGCGAAAATGACCTCTGCCCCTCACGCCCATAAATGGCTAACCCAAATGCTAAGACGAGGGATTTCCAGGCAAATCCTTAGCATGCAGCAGCTGCTTCTGCCATGGTGGAGGTATGCTTTGCAGAGGACAACATTGACCTCGCCCTCGTACAAGAGCCTTGGGTGGCTAACGGTGACGTTCTAGGATTGTCGGCTGCTAGTAAGATTTTGGTTAATACTAAAGGTAGTAAACTTAGAGCTTGTATAATTTACAATAAAACATTAATCATTTAGCTGTTCCAGAGTAATACAACAACAACCTCATAACAGCCTTCATAAATCTCAAAGGATGGACAGGGACTAGAGTATTAGTTTGTTCAGTCTATATTTCCGGAGAGAACTCAGATCCTACCATAGAGTTAGAGAAAGTGGTGGAGTATGCTCAAAAGCACAACGCCGAACTTGTGGTGGATTGTGATGCTAATGCTCACCACACAACCTGGGGAAGCACTAATGTCAATGAAAGAGGTTAGTTACTTTATGGTTTTCTCATCTATAATCGCCTGGTAAGCCTAAACTTAGGGTGTAAAATAACCTTTGTAACGCAAACTAGACAAGAAGTGATAGATATAACCTTTGCTACTAATACTATGTCCAAGTGTATAGCTGACTGTAGTTTGACTGTAGTTCACATGTAGTTTGTGATTAGAACATCACCAACTTATGAAACGGTTTTCGGTAGAGTCAGGCTAAGGAAGAACTTGATAACGTTTCCTAAAAGCATTAAAACGATTGAAGGTCTAAAGCTAGCGAGGAAGAAATCTGTGAAGCCTTGGGAGCAGTTGTCCCGTCAAAACCATGATTTCAACAAGAAAAGTTCCTCGGTGGAACACTAAGTTGAAGTAACTTAAGTAAAAAATCAGGAAACTCTTCAATAGAGCCAAGAAAACTAAAGAGTGGGATATCTATAATATTGTATAATGTTTTCTAGATATTGAGGGCGCCTCTATATTTTCGCTTGTAGTACGACGACAGCGAAGCCACAAGAATAAACTGCGTGTTCTGGCAAGAGCGCTGACTGAACAATGTTGTCTGAAAAAGCACATGTCCATTATTTAACTAAGCAACTCAAGGATGTGCCAATTCTGTTCCTTAACGGAAGAAACACCTCTGCACATTCTAACTGCTTGTGAACCCTTAATGCGCAAACGTAACATTCATTTGGGAAACTATGAACTTAGCCCAGAAAAAGTGAAACTGCTCACAGCTAAGCAACTCCTTCAATTCATTGTTACATAGGGCTTAGCAGTGAACTAGCCATAGCAGTGATACTGGTCTTTCTAGAGCTGCATAACTGCTTGCAAAAAATAAAAAAAATACATATAAATAAATAAATAACTAGTAAAAAACATTTTTTAAAAAAAAGCTTTTTTGGTAACATTACTTAACCTTTTTTATAAAATAAGTAAATCTCGCGATAATATTGTTTTTTACTATTAATTTATTAGAAAATGAGCGCGAACATTCTTCTTAAAAGTTTGTTTGCTGAAAAGTTATCTTTACTTTTCACGCAAGTAATTACTTTGGCAGGCTTTGACTTGGACAGCAAACGACGAAGATATGAAACCAGAATGGTGAAGAGGTATAGTGTCTGTCATCAGTGTCACGCAGGAGCTGCGACTTATGTTTCAGATAATTCTGATAGTAATTGTTGAATAAAATTAAAAAAAAACTGTGGAATATATCCTTACGTGTCTTCGCTGACGAGTAGGAAGCCATTGAGAGCAGAATGAGAAAACATGCGACGCGAAATAAAATTGCAAAGATGAAAGATAAAATTAATGCAGTTATTGATAGTATAATCTAGCTTTTAGACGGCTCAAAGCACTAAGTTTATTCCGTCTGTAAAGTTTTCCGTCTAACAGGTTGGTTCGGCATTTTGAAATAACCGTACCGCCATTTGTCAATCGCCAGTGTCTCGTTATTTGCTGGGTGTCTCACATGCAAGTTTGATTGATATTTTTAGTGATCTCATCTACGCTCTTTTCTATTTTTAACTTTGATTTCGGAATTGTAGGCTTGTGGTCTAAATCTATTGATTGGTTTATTCATTATTTTGGAAACAAAAGAAATGGAGGAGGAAGATCTAGAATGAACTTACATTACTTTACATTATTTATTTGAATTAGCTAAAAACAATTCCTTTATATCACCCCAGTTGATATGGGATTTTCTTCCAGCAGGGAGCGCATTTGCTCTAATCGGTACGTATGTCAGAAGTGTCATTTTACCGATTTTAACTTTTTGCGTTGCAAATTTAGTATTAGAAAAGTTGCTGTAACACGAAATGGACATCTTGACCGAGGAAGGACCACGATCCCACAGTTTGTGCTTCAAATGGTGAGAGGTGACAACTAAAGAGCCTTTAAACTAGTAACAAGTATTCTATCTTAATACTTAGGGGTAACAACGTATACTGGGCACTGCGTATTGATTTATAATCAACGAAATGTAGATGTCGCTTGGTCACAGCATTCACTTACCTTAAGATATTTTGTACTTCTTTGTCACCTCATAAAAACGTTAAGAAATCACAAATTCAATGCCATTTTGAGGATAAACAAAAATACGTACCGACGAAAATGCTACTGAATATATAGAACCCAGCATTGCAGTTGATCTCGAGCAGCAGATTGAGGATCTGTACTGAAGCAAGCAATCCAAGATTTCCTCCAGTTTGTGTTAAAGCTACAGCCAGCGCCCTGGAACACGATTGAACACAAGGATAATAAAATCTCTGTAATACAAATTAACATGAAATGTAGTCTAAAATGTAGGTCCACTCAAGTTTCTCTCCGATATGTCCAAACTGGATTGGCCATTTTATACATACACTCATTTTATACATACACTTTTTAACAGTGGTAGAGCCACGCGGCAGCGTTTGCTGTCGCACGGATGGGCCGGCTCGAACCGGGGTGGTACAACGACCTCACAGAAAACCAGCGTGAAGTAGAGGTTTACATCTGCGTTTCGCTTGGTGAGTGCAGGTGGCCGGAGGCCCTTTTTACTGGAAATGAGGCATTCCATCTTAGTCCTCACGGGTGACAACACATCTACATTTTGATTTGTAACAGAGGATAGATGTAGATGTCTATGGGCCGCAGCAACCACTTACCATCAGGTGGACTGTGTGCTCGTTTGTTACCCTTATCCTATAAAAAAAACACTCATTTACATTCGCTAATCACTTATTCACTCACACATTGTTCGCCTTCCAACTTCCGATTAACCACTACCACTTCAGTCTATGATCGATCTCCGCGTCGATAACGAGCCTGTACGCCTGAGTTCCGCAAAAATCCTTAAAAGGATTTCATCACAATTAGGAAGTTCATCCTAATCCCGCATCAATAATTCGCCGTGCTAAAATAATTGAACTCAAAAAGAGGCAGTGATTGCAGTGATAAAAACTGGTAATTATGTGGCATTTTCCCGCCATTTATGGACATTTTGGTGGTGAATTGTGGTATCAGTGAACTAGATGCCTGACTACAGTAAGTCCTTTCTTTATCCCACACAAACCAACTTAAAAACATGTATGTTCAAAATAGTATAACTTCTAAATGGAATCGGTAATTGTTGGAATCTGTCATGATGTTAGTCTGCCCTGGGGATAATCCTGAAGTAATTCTTGACTTTAATTGTTTATTGTACTTAAATGGAATTTAGCTATTTACGGTGGCTAACCGCTAACTTAGCGGTTAGCCAACGTAGAGTCTATATCACCTGAGGATGCCTCGTGTAGAGGCGAAACACGTGTCGTATTATCGTCAGTGGTGTGTCTTGCCTAGTGTAGTGGTGTTGGGAGTAGCGGTGCTGGGATTAGTGGTGACGGGGATAGTGCACGCAATTGAGGGAGGGCGGGAGGTGCTCTTCGTACTAGGTAAGACACATCATTTTATTTTATAACGCGGATATTTGCGAAGTAAATTTTTGTAAAAGCTTTTACAGATAGACACTCATTTTGCTATATTTATGTGTTTAATCTATTGACAATGATAGACAAAGATAACGAGGCAAGAACCTAAAAGTTCGAATTTTGGAGTTTTAGCAGGGAACATTGATGATGTTGATAAAGCGCAGTTCACGCTAACAAAGCCGTCAAACTTTTATATTTGAAAAAAAAACTTCGGGTGTTTTCCTTCGGTTTGATTCTTCTCGGGAAAGGTATTTGAAAGTATTTTATAATGAATAAAAATATTTCTAAAAGCTTGGATATTTGAATACGTAGAATTTTCATTAAAATTAGTTGTACCTATCGATAATAAAAGTTCTCTAAAACTATCGCCAATTGTTTTGACGTAATTCTAGTTGAAATAAATATACATTAACGTAAATTCAACCTTAAATGCATTACCTAAAGTTGACGGCTCCGTGGCGCAGTGGCTTAGCAATGAGTTACAGCGCTGGGGGCCGCGGGTTCGAATCCTGCACGGAACAAGTATTTGTATGACCTACAAATAATTGTTCCGGGTTTGGATGTTTGTCCTTGTGGAATTTATGTTTGTAAACTACCTCCACGACACAGGAGAAAATCCTAGTGTGGGGGTAACGTTATTTAAAAAAAAATAAAAAAAAAAATTCACAAAGCTTACGTACAAATTAACAGCGCACCCAAATGTTCAAGTGGGCGCTCATTCGGTAAGGACATTTTGTGACTGATTGTGTATAAACCAGTTTTTTATTGGTGATCGATGGTTGTACCATTCATTGCATTCATAGCTGTCTTTGTATTTGTAATTTATGTGTAGTATTTAAGGAACCGTTCATATTTAAATAAATAAATAAACAGAAAATCACCTGAGATGAGTAGGGAACAGTTCAACAGCAATGGCCGTGTACATTCCTATCGTCAAGATGCCAGCTAGAAAGATCATGAAGAAAACGGCGCTTGCGTAGGCGTTGGGTATGAGGTTCACTATGATGCCTGACATTCCACACACAACTGTAATGCATATGGCCATGTTGCGGTAGCCAATTCTGTTCACTACCTGCATTTTAATGCAACAAGGTTTTTTTTTTAATCGTATAAATTTAATTCATAGGTAAGTATGAGAGAATTTATATATTAACATTTTTTTTAAGCCTAACCTGTATGCTGCATAGTAATCCAGCTTCTTGATGGACGAAGGCTTGGCGATCGATCAATGACAAAAACTGCGTTTTTGTCATTGATCGATCAGACCCATTTTCATCGACTGGTGGTGAGGCACAGTATCCCCAGTATGAGGGTATCAACGCAGCGTAGTGAGTATGGAGGAATATTTTAAGAAATGCAAGGCAATTAAAGGATTTCTAAAAAGTCGTATGTCCAGTGGATTTAAAGCCGTGGTATATCAGGGGTAAAGCACTCGCTGTAAGTTTCAACGTAAGCGAACAACCCGTGTTTGATCCGCATCGGCACCAATGAAATTATTGATTGTCATTTTAAGCGCTGAGTTACCGCATGCTCAACGGTGAAGGAAAACGTCGTGAGGATAACTACATGTCTGAGAAATTAAAAAAATAATATTTACAAAGACATGTGAAGTCCACCAACATTCATTGGGCATGCGTGGCTGACAATTCCTTGCCCTAAAACACTCTCAGAAATGAAAGGAGGGCTGTGCTCAGTTGTAGGACTAATATTCTAGATTCTTATATATATAGATTGAAAATACTTTGACGATGCATAAAGTCAACGTAGCTCTGAATATGAACAGAAATAGAATAATATACATTTTTTTATAGAGTTATGCTTCATAATAATAATAAATTCAAATAATTTTATACCTCTGTGGTGGAGCCACACTATAGCAAAACAATATTCATTAAAATATGATAGTTTTGATGTTCAGTCACTATTCACATGCTCACCTATAGAAGGCTGCATCTCAATTGTAACTAAGAAGCTAGAAGATAACAACATGCCTACAGAATATGCAGTATACAATACCTGCATTTTAGCCCATCTCAACTCCTTAAACTCTAAAATATAATTCAATATGGACTTAGAAGCAAATAATTCTTTAGCTTTTCTAGACGTTTTACTCATCCGAATTCCTGATAACACTATTGGTCACACTGCATATAGGAAAAAGTCCCACACCAATCGATATTTAAACGGTGAATCTCACCACCATCCATCACAGTTAGCTACCGTGGGAAAATCTTTGTTTCAGAGAGCACAAGGGATCTGTGATAGAAAACATCTAGCCGCCGAGCTTCAGCACGTCAAGCAAGTATTGCAAGACACCAAGTTTTGGGTCCCGCGCCTACTTCACAGAGACCGAGTGAAGCCGGCCACGGATGAGCGTGTGCCTGCTGTACTACCATACGTCAGAGGAGTTACAGACAAGATTGACTGCATCTTGAACCGAGCTTCCATTATATCCTACTACAAGCCGCCGAAGAAGATTAGTCAATTTTTCATGTTATTCCTGGTGTTGCAAGCGTGGTAGCCGGGATCACGCACCCGATGTAAGAATATTTTTGTTCTTTCTTCGTACTTTTCGATTTCGTCAGTTTCCGTTCTCTGTAAATTTCACAGTACGCGAGCAACCCGGGTTCGACCCCAGCCGGCATCAATGGAGTTCTTAGTTGCAATTTTAAGTGTTGATTTACCACGTGCTCTGCGGTGAAGAAAAACGTCGTGAAGTTCGCCAGCAGGCACTGGGGCATTGCGACGGCCATTTTCATTTCCCTCTCAGAAATGAGAGGAGGTCTATGCCCAGCAATGGGACGTATATAGGCTGTTACATTACTTTTACTTTTACTTTATTTTCAGATCAGGGTCACGGTCGAGCTCCTTTTCAGTGCCCTCAGCTTTTATATGTATCTTTATAGTTATTTGGGATCTCAAAGTTATCTTACTTCCACAGAAGAGGAGTCTCGAAACGGCCATCAGTCATTCTTCGACTATTTTGTAGTGCAATCTTCACAGCATGCTGTTCTGAATCGTTTTTCTGTTTCCTTGGCTCCACTCTGAGGGTTTCCAAGTCGAAGAATCCCTTCGTCATATCTTTCATTGAATTGTTCTGCGCCGCAATGATGGCGTGCTCACAGAAGGCAACCGGTTTCTGTATGTCGCGTATAAGATGCGATAGGTTGATTTTACCTTCTTGTTCGTATTGAAAGTGCCACCAAGAGCTCCCAAATTTCTTGTCCTATTAATATCCTGGGCAGGCATTATTGTAAACTAACTGGTTTTCTATCTCTCGTAGATGAAGGCAGTACTGAAAATTTCTTCTTTCTATTGTCTGCTTGGTGAACATAAGGCGTTGTATGGTACGCGCATTACGTATAGTGTATTCTTTATTGCTATATTTCCCTCGTATCTTGATGTCGACTCTTGCTGTTTTCTTGCTTGACGGTTTCATTCAGACCTTTTATCCACATACAATCACGTGGGCCGTCAAGTCCAATAGTTCTGCCAGTCCCTCGTCGATAATCGTGACGGTGCTTCCATCGTCCATCAAGGCGTACTTAGGTGTCGAATCGACATTTAGATATAGATTTCTATGGGCTGCAGTATACACTTAGCATCGAGTGGATTGCTCGTTTTTTATCTTACACCATTATAATAAAATATAGAGGGCAGTAAATTATTATGCTGAGCGATGAGACCAACTAAAGATATCTTTATTGACTAATGGAATAACATCTTCGAGAGAATGTGCATAGTTAGAAATTTTATAGACAAATAACAACATTATAGTGTATTTATTGTGATTTGTATTTATTCTATTGCTGCTTAATTTGTGAAATATAAATGGAAATTTAAATGTCGTTGATCATTTCGATATAATTTTGAGCAATTGATTTTTCATTATTAAATTGTGATATATTATAAATAGATGAAATGCATTGTATCTCGCTAATGTCGTTTTCGTACTCTAACCATAAAATTATCTTAACTCGAAGATGATGACGAAGCAAACGACACCTCGTACTTCACATTTCGTCGAGCCGTTTATGTTTCTAAGACGTTATAGGGTAGTGGATATTCTTACACCGCCACTGCATGGTTGATTTAGTATATTTCAATATACTAAATCAACCGTAAATCAACCAATAAGGCTCCATATAAAAATATTGAAAGTAAATGGTAGTTATACCAATAACTACCATTTACTATCAATATTTTTAAAAAGATAATAAGACTTATGATAAGACTTTTAAAAGTGAACTTATAAACTTTATACTTACCAAACTTAGCAATGTATTAAGCAACGACTGCAGAGCGCACACTGATAATACCAGCAGAAGTGACGTTACGTTCAGGGCGCACGGTACGACGTCCGGCTGCAAAAGGTTATTTAAAATATAAATGGCAAAGATTTACAAAAATATAAAATTGTACAATTTTCACTTGAATATTCTTTGACTTGTATATAGTTATCTGTGGATACGATTAGGGATCATAAGGGATCTGTAACAGAATACATATGGCCGCTGAGCTCCAGCACGTCAAGCAAGTGATGCAAGATAACAAGCTTTGGGTCCTGCGCCAACGTCACAGCTTCTGAGTGAAGCCGTGTGTCTGGTACATGATTATTGCATAGAGTCAGTTTATGGGCCGCAGAGTGACATAGGCTACTTTAATCTTGAAAAAATATGTAATAACGTCTTCATACGAAAATGGCTACATGGGTTTTGGTAAAATTTATTTTTTAGGTAAACAGAAATACATTCCCAGTTAGAATAATGGTGCTACAGAAAAGTTAACGTTCTACCCTCCGTACTAGTTTCCACTGTATGACGGCAGGCGTAGTCATCATAGAATACTATAACACATAAGTCATCTTCCTTAAGGGCAACAACAATTATTACTTCACTCAGTGTATTACTTTTTTCTTTAATCAAATTAAATTGAGCGATAATTTTAGTAACCTGCACTGATTTTGGTTGACTACTGAATAATTTGCTCGAACAATTTGTATTTTAATAAAAATTATTATAAAAGTGGCCAATTTTAACATTTGTCGGAAACTGTACAATCTAAAGACGAAATTACCCGTATTTTAATAAAGAGTTTAAACGCGAAAAAATCCATCGCGTTTAAATTATCAAAAGTTGTCTGACTAACTTCTTAAACTTTTGGGGGCTGATGTGTCTTTTTGTGTCATTGCATCAAGTGTTGCTTACACTCGGGCTCAAAATGATGAAGCCAAGTTTTATTTCAACCAACAATCCGAAAGAAAACTTATTCTTGTTTTCGCTACAAAGGTTAAACAATTCGCAGCAACACACTACTACGTCGTTGCTTTTGGTGCGGTGTGAGCATTACCGGCATCTTGCGCCACAATTTGACACGTTTGTATGGTAAAATTATATTCATGATTATATCTATTGTTATACCAATATTGAACAAAATCTTTCAAATACTCGGTTATTTTAATTCAATATAACTAAAAACTCACATCCATTGGCGCTTCTAAACTGTCGCTGATAATTTTACATAGACTCCTATCGGTGCCTACTCCTGTCTCCACAATCTTCACGAATTGATTAGCAATAGTCGGTAACCAGATTGTGAACGATCCAATTCTGCATAAAAATGATTTCATTACAAACGAATAACTTAACATCCATTTTTTATAGAATAACAAACGAGCACACAGAGTAAGTGGTAGCTGTACCCCATAGACATCTACATCTATCCTCGATTAAGAATTAAAATGCAGATGCGTTGTCACCTCTGAGGACTAAGATGGAATGCCTCGTTTCCAGTAAAAAGGCTCTCCGGTTCTCTACACTCACCATACGAAACACAGCAGCATTACTCTGTTATTTTACGCTTTTATTCTGTGAGAGCGTGGTCCTTCCCCGGCCGAGCCGACCCATTCGTGCTACAACTATACTACTAATATAGCTGCAGCATGGCTCTACCACGTATAAAGATCTCCTATTTAAGGTTTTCCTTTGTCGCCTCTTACGACACGACACCCACGGGACAATATGGGGTACTGAATATTCTTACACTAATACTACTAGTACACGCTTAAATGTAATATACAATAATAAAATTGTTTTCATATGTAATTGTAACAATTACAAATGTTATAAAATTTATATTATAATAAATTTATTAAAAAACCAGAGTAGGAAACCTATCCAATTGCAGAGAGGTGTAAGACAGGGTGACGTTATATCCCCGAAACTCTTCACCGCTGCATTGGAAGACGTTTTCAAGCTTCTGGACTGGAAAGGATACGGTATTAACATCAATGGCGAGTACACCACTCACCTTCGATTTGCCGACGACATAGTCTTTATGGCAGAGTCACTGGAGGACCTAAGCACTATGCTCAATGACCTCAATAGTGTTTCCCAACGGATAGGTCTTAAGATGAACAAAGACAAAACAAAGTTAGAAGTGGTACCACTGTTAAGTTTAACAGTGGTAGAGCCACGCGGCAGCTTTTGCTGTCGCACGGATGGGCCGGCACGAACCGGGGTAGTAACACGACCTCACAGAAAACCAGCGTGAAGTAGAGGTTTACCTCTGCGTTTCACTAGGTGAGTGCAGGTGGCCGGAGGCCCTTTTTACTGGAAATGAGGCATTCCATCTTAGTCCTCACGGGTGACAACGCATCTACATTTTGATTTGTAACAGAGGATAGATAGATGTCTATGGGCCGCAGCAACCACTTACCATCAGGTGGATTGTGTGCTCGTTTGTCACCCTTATCCTATAAAAAAAAAAAACAAAGATCATGTTTAATGTCCATGTCACACCTATGCCGGTAGTTGTTGGGAGCACTAAGCTTGAAGTTGTTGACGAGTATGTTTACCTGGGACAAATAGTCCGACTAGGTAAGTCCAACTTCGACCGAGAGGTCAATCGACGGATTCAACTCGGTTGGGCAGCGTTCGGGAAATTACGGCACATCTACTCGTCAGGTATACCTCAAAACTTGAAAACGAGACTGTACAACCAGTGCGTGTTGCCAGTTATGACCTATGGCACTGAGACGTGGTCCTTCACTGCTGGCCAGATGAGGAAGCTCAAGGTCGCTCAGCGAGCTATGGAGAGGGCTATGCTCGGAGTTTCTCTGCGTTGTAAACTTAGAAATGAGGATTTCCGCAGTAGAACCAGAGTGACCGACATAGCCCAAAGGATTAGTAAGCTGAAGTGGCAATGGGCCAGCCATATAGCTCGAAGAACTGACAACCGATGGGGAAAAAAGGTTCTCGAGTAGCGGCCTCGTACCGGCGAAGGAAGTGTAGGGCGTCCCCCCACTAGATGGAGTGACGACCTGGTAAGATATGCAGGAGGTCGATGGATGCAGGTGGCTCAGGAGCGTGCTTTGTGGCATTCCTTGGGGGAGGCCTATGTTCAACAGTGGACTTGTGAAGGGCTGTAATGATGATGATGATGACTAAAATGAAAAGGTACCTATAATTTTTCCAAGTTACAAGGACAGCAGCATATGAATAAATAAACAGAATGATTTACTAATGTCCTGGCATTAAGTAGGCTATCTGAACCTAGATAATTGTTTCTAATAATAAGTATTATAGTATAATGTAATTAAGAAAAATTATAATGTTGAACGAGACGGCGACTGTGGTCGTAATCTCATTTCTCTAAAGCTACACATTTTTTAACTGTTATAGTTTTAAGACATGGTCGAACATGTACGCTCCATATCGCGGCCTTGGTGGGTCCGGTGTACACGGCCACATCGGACCTGGCAGTCACCTTGAGTGCACAGCTATGTTCAGAGGTCACCTTCCTTATTTTATTTAAACGTAAGTTTTTTTCGCTTGCTCATACACGGATTTCTTCTTCATCGAAGCGAAGGAGATGTGTCAGGACCGTGCCAAATGGAAATCCGTAGTTTTTTTTGTGATATTTTATTATAATAATACTAACTGTACCCGACAAATCATTCAATGCCTTTTTTGTCATACATCTTCGCGGCCGTGCAGATTACAAGAAAAATTTCGTCAAAATCGTTGAAACACCACCAACTTCCAGACTTTGGGAGGCTACTGAGAATTTGTTGACAGAAATTCTCAATAACTGATTTCGTTTTAGCCCGACCCAAGAATCGAACCCGGGATATCATGATCAGCAATCACGTTTATTACCACAAGAACAACGAAGAAGTCCAAAATTATAAAGATTATTTTCGTAAGCAAGAGAAGAAGTTAAACATTCGCTCGCACACTATTCTCTTGAATTTCGCTCGCACACTATTCTATCTCTTGATTACGGAAATAATATTTTCCTTATTATCAATAAAACACTAGAATGCACCAATTAGTATGGCAGCTACAGCTATGTCCAATACCATCGAGGCGTTATAATTAAGGCGCGCGGTAACCAGTGCGCGAGCCCGACTTAAACTCCAAAAAGCATATATGGGATAAACTTGGAAGAAAAGTTAAGAATAATCCTGCCCCCTTATGAGATCTTGAAAACGCATTACGGGAAGAATGGAATAATGAAGAGAATAAAGGGAAATGGACAGAGGAATCTCTGAAGATTTGACAACTTGATTAAGGGTATACCAAATAGACTGGAAGCTGTTCGAAATGCTGGAGGGGTCAACATTGACTACTGAGTATTATATATAGCCCACGTTATAGCTTTACCTAAACATTTATGAAAAAAAATTTGTCCATGATTATATATACAAGATGTATGATAATTAACAGGCTATCTTTCTGTACTGATTAATTATATTTACTCACTGCTGAAATAAAAACAGCGTAATCATGATTACGGTGTACTTGAGAAGGGGTGCTTTAAATAGCGGCACGATTTGGTCATTTGATGATGACAGTCCGTCAAGCTGTTCCGCATCCAAAATCAAACCCTTTATCTGAAAAGTTACAGAACTTCTTTTAAAAAAACTGTCTTTACAATTAATATTTGCTGGCTGATGTCGGCGTTCCAGGGTACAGGATATTTGGTTCCGCAGGTTTCGTTGTCTTAACGAATGTAATTATAGTACAAAAAAGAAAGGTACATCATAAATACGTCCCAACAATGGGCACAGGCCTTCTCTGATTTTTGAAAGGTTTATGAAACAGTTATGAAGTTGCATTGCACGAGTGCGTGATAGCGGACTTCAAATGTCCTTGAAATATTTTATTCTTCAGAGCACGTGATAAATCAGCACTTAAAATTGCATTTGCAATTTCATAGTTCCCAGCACGGATCATACCTGGGTTGCTCGCGAGCGCTGAATTACTACGGCTCTCAAGAATAGTTGAATAGGTATTAAAATCATGCATCACCCCATTTCGTCCCGTGGGTGACATAAGAGGTGGCAATGGGAAACGCCAGAACCATCTTATAGCTTCCGATCGATAGCACAATCATCTCGTTTATGTCAAACGCAAAATACCCAGACCGGAACAGGGCAGCAGAGTCAAAGGTCCGCGTTTACAAGTGAGTGCGCTTGTTAAGTCGTTCCTGAAACAGGGGAGTTCTATGTCTAGCAGTGGAATTTTACGGACCAGTAATAAAGTGAAAATTTTATTATTTTTTCGCGAGAAGTTGGAAAGCAGATTACTTTTAAGAATAAGAAATAAAGGGTAAATTTATATTACTTGAATATCTTTTGCTGATTTTCCATTATTCCATCTGTGTATAGTTTTTATAATATTTATAGCTTCTTCTTCATGTCCTTTCGTAAACACGTATTTTGGGCTCTTTAGCATGAAGCATAGCCAGAGCGCAGCTAGAAGACTTGGTATAGAATAGACAAGGTTTAGAGTCCGCCAAGAGTTCCAGTAGATGCCCAAGCCCGGAAGGTGGTAAGAAAACCGTAGCGGAATAATAGGTATGGCGATTACTGAAAAAAATATGTTTAATGTTAAAATAAAACTTAATTCATAGATAATATAGTAGTAATAATAATATACCTTGTAATTATTATTATGACTAAAGGGTTTCCATTATTTAAATTTTAGTTTTAGCTATACGACTTGTAACTAAATTCCTGTGATTACTGTTATTTGCGTTATCAGAATCAGTATTCACACGTATAGAAATAACTTTACTTCAAAATCAAATTAAATTGATATAAATTTTATTTGGAAATTGTATGTGAGTTTCATACCTCTGCATTGGCTGGGGAGTAAAAATATTCGTCAAAGACCCCGCTTTACCGATGCCGATGCGCTTGTCAGTTCAGATGTCAATAACATTTTTTTTTACAAGATTAAATCTATTGAATAAAACTATTTTTACGGATTTTATCGCGTTTAATTTACTTATTTTATATTCCCGACGTTTCGGTTGCTTTCCAGCAATCGTGGTCACGGGGGACTGAGGTGATTGACGTCCCGATGTCAAAGTAGGTGGTAGTACCCAGCCTCCTGCTTGGGATCCTGTAATTCATAAAATTAAAACTAAACCCAAGCATACCACTGTAAGACTTCAAGACACAGTTAGTTCATTCTGCGTAGATCGGACCAAAATTAATAATTAAAAAGCTGAAGGTACTCCGGGTTAACTTTGACATCGGGACGTCAATCACCTCAGTCCCCCGTGACCACGGTTGCTGGAAAGCAACCGAAACGTCGGGAATATAAAATAAGTAAATTAAACGCGATAAAATCCGTAAAAATAGTTTTATTCAATGTGTAGTGTTCGCGTAAATATAAGAAATCATTAGATTAAATCTAAGTTACGACAAAAAAAATGTCTCTGTCATAAATGACATGCCTATATGTTTTTTTTATAGGATAGAGTGACAAACGAGCACACATTTCACTTGATAGTAAGTGGTTGCTGTGGCCCATAGACATCTACATCTATCCTCCTATACGAATCAAAATGCAGATACGTTGTCACCCGTGAGGATTAAGATGGACTGCCTCTTTTTCAGTAAAAAGGGTCTCCGGTTCTCTACACTCACCATATGAAACACAGTAGTGTTAAGCTGCTATTTTACGTTGGTATTCTGTGAGAGCGTGATCCTTCCCCGGTCGAGCCGACCCATACGTGCTACAACTATACTACTAATATAACGGCAGCATGGCTCTATCACGTTAAAAATGCACATCTATATGCCCTCAAAAGGACCACCGTGTTTTTTATTTACTGTATCTATTGGGAATCTACTGTTTATATACTGTATATTTAAAGAACACGAATTCTTAATGAGTTTCGATGATCCTAGTGAGAACTCGGGAAAATATTGTAAAGTAATTTATCATAACATTGTTTTTTTCTTTTTGCTTTAATATGTCGAAGGAGTTTGCAAAGATAATCTAGCCAATTACCACCATTCTCAAATAGCGAAATAATCAAAATAGTTAAAAAAAATTATCAGTCGCAGTGTCACATGTCACACATATTAAAAAGCATTAGAAAAAAATACAATACATATTCACAATGGAGTACATGTTTTTAAGATCACACATAAGATCTATATATTAGTTAGCGTAACGGATGAACTAATAGTGATACTATGATAGTTTTAATTTCATTTAAAAAATATGTTAACTGCCTTGGAAATAATGCTTACCTGCCAAAATACCTTGGGATAGCAAGAATATGGTGTTGACCAACAAGACCAGTAGGTTTCTTTTACTCATAGGGACGCTCTCACTGAGGAAGGTCACAGCTAATGAATACTGACCTCCTGCACTGAAAGAAAAAAAAGAAAAGTGAAAAGACAAATTTACCAATACCAATTTTAAAAGGGGTAGATGAAAATATGAAGAAGTAAAATATGATAAGCAGAAGGAAGCGAATAGACTGGCCTTACGATTTTATAACACTATATAGTGATGAACTTGCAGTTCACTTTACAAATATCGGCCGCTAAGCTGTAATGATATTGTACTTTAAACCGACATTAGATGCCGGGCTGTATATTGGCAGTGTACCAGTGGCGATGAGGTTGGTATCTATTGAGACACATTTTCAGGCAGGTTTCATTAGCTGCGAAAATTTTGCAGCGAGAATGCCGACAAGCCCTGTCTCTAGCCGGCCACTATAAAAGATAAAAAGGCAATCACATGAAAAACACGAATAGAGAGTACAATTTTCAGCAATCTAAAATTGTGCTTAGGTACGATGTACTTACTTTAGTAGAGTTATGACTGTAATGATAGTGATATCGGTGACAAAGAAAACCAAAACTTTAGACGATTAGATTAGATGTTAGATGTTTACTAATCAATGGACCTCCATATACTATATAAGTCATTTAAATTTTTTTATACTTCCCACAGCTGGACTATCCTCTCATTTCTTAGAGGGTTTTCTACATCTACATTTATCCTTGTTTGCGAATCAAAATTCAGATGCGTTGTCACCCGTGAGGACTAAAATCAAATGCCTCTTTTCCATTAAAAACAGGTGAGTGTAGAGAACCGGATACCCGGTTCCATACGAAACACAGCAGTGTTAAGCTGCTATTTTACGCTGGTATTCTGTGAGAGCGACCCTGGTTGAGCCGACCCATTCGTGCTACAACTATACTACTAATATAGCTGCAGCATGGCTCTACCACGTCAAAATGTCCTATTCATGGTCCTTAAAATTGGGAACTAACGTATTGTATAATAGAAAGAGTAAAATAAAATGGAAACTAAGTTTATTTTTAACAGTAAATCAAAGTGCGAAGATGAGCCACTAAACAGTCTACTCTATAAATACTTACCAAAATGATGCTAGGCATTGCATAATCAACAGCATGACCCAATTGACGGAGAGGCTGCCGATGCCATTGAATGTAGCTGCCGAGACGAGCGTAAAGAGCAGTATCCGACGCCGTCCGAACTTGTCCCCCAAGTATCCACCAACAACGCCACCCAGTATTAAACCTATTTAGAATTGTTAGTTTAAAACTATCTATATATGTTATCCTTAACGCATATATTTCATTAAATACAGCCAAAAGTCCACACAATCATATTTCTGTTTCTAAAAATGTACAAGTAAGATTTGATAATTAATAGAATCAGGCGTTACTTTGCGGAAGTCCATTATATTAAAGTTGACAAAAAATTACTTTGCGTACATCCGCTCGATAAAATAAAATGATGTGTCTTACCTAGTATGAAGAGCACCTCCCGCCCTCCCTCAATTGCGTGCACTATCCCCGTCACCACTAATCCCAGCACCGCTACTCCCAACACCACTACACTAGGAACACCACTGACGACAATACGACACGTGTTTCGCCTCTACACGAGGCATCCTCAGGTGATATAGACTCTACGGTGGCTAACCGCTAAGTGAGCGGCGAGCCAAAACAACTGCTATTTATATAGACCGCTGACGCAACCGCTCTCTACTTAAGGAGACTTTTTTTTTCTTATTTAACGTTCTTCTGCCCTTTCTGGTTGGTGTGAGTTGCATGAGTTGCGATGAGTTGCAATTTTGCACACACTTTTTTCTATAGTTTTATTATACGTACAAATAAATCTTCTATAAAAGAACTAATAGAACTATCAGCAGCCATTGTGACAATATACTTAAAAAAAACTCTTTTTACTCTTCCGAAGCGGATAAAAGTCACCTATATGTTATACATAGTCATTTACTACCTACATTTTTTTTTATATAATTAGGGTGACAAATGAGCACACATTCGACCTGATGGTAAGTGATTGCTGTGGCCCATAGACACCTACATGTATCTTCGTTTGCGAATTAAAATGCAGATGCGTTGTCAGCCGTGAGCACTAAGATAGAATTGTTGAAAAGTTATATTTAAATACCTTTACCATTGAAGTCTATTATTATAAGTTCACTACTCAACATAGACCTCCCCATAGATTGTGTCATAGGAAGGATATTTGCCATTGTTGCCATATTTGCTTACCATCTTCTGATTCAGTGTCCCACTGTCGCCTCTTACTGCACATCCCGTGATGACATGGGGTAGAAGATATCCTTACGCCGTCACGAAATGGTTGGATTTAAATAATTTAATTTTAAATATCGTTCCAGCGTATAGCAAGTCCACCGCTGACCACTGTCAAGTCTCTACAAAGACAGTTCTCAACAACTGATCGCTCATACAGATGCAACTAAGCAACGTCCTACGCCGCCTGCATCCAACGACTCGTCACGTCATCACGCGTCTCATTTCATCATCGTTGCAGTGGTACAGAGATTTGATTGCCTGGTTCCCGAGTTACAATGCCTCATTTAGTTTACAAATGATAAAACCATAGATTTAATATAAACTGACGTTAGGTTATAACATACGCACCGATTAATTCTCCCGCTACTATATATCCTTGTTGAGAGTTGGAGGTCTCCAGTTCACACGCGCTTGCAGGAATGATGATGGAGACCGCGAAAACAATACAAGCGTATGAAATTATAATCAAACCAGCCAAACTCGTCAAAATATAGCTGTACAGACCAAAACCTAAAAACAAACTCTATTATAAGTTCTGTTAAAATATTTGTTTGTTGACTTGAAAACATCATAATAACCTTGTTACGGTAATTGTAAATTAGATATTAATAAATTGAAAGAAAACTAACAAAGTGAGTATATAAATCAATATAAATTTCAGGAATTTGCTTGTTTATCCATAATTTAAAACTGGTTATATACTTTACCTTTTTATATCTATATATCGGTTACCATCTATAAAAATCCACTTGTGAACATAGGTCTCCCTTTTGTCATAGTTGGCATGTTTGGCGGCTGGGTTGGCAACTGTTAACAGGAAGATGCTGCTGCCCATCTTCTGTTTTAGTTTCCCTCTGTCGCCTCTTACGACACCCACGGTACGATATGGGGTAGTGGGTATTCTTACACCACCACCACTCAGTCTCTATTATATGAAAAAATGAAAAAAATGAAAAATTGTTTATTTCTTTAAAAAGATCATACATTATATAGGTATGGGAGTAAGTGGAACATCCTTTTAAGTAAATATATACTTGTGGCAGGATGCCCCGCTCTTCTATAGCAAGAATTAAATAAACACAAAATAGATTAATTAAAGAAATACAAGAAACTAAGCTTAAATTTATATAATGAGGGTTAATAAACATAAGTGTGCGAGTTTTATGTGAGTGTGAGTTGATGGGTGCGTGCGCTCACTCGCGCGATTCTGTGTGAGTGTGTGTGTCTGTGTGTGTGTGTGTGTGTGTATGTGTGTGTGTGTGTGTGTGTGCGTGTGTATGTGTGTGTGTGTGTATGTGTGTTTGCGTGTGTATATGTACACATGTGTGTGTTTGTCGGCATTTGTAAAATTTATTTAATAACTTTTAGTAATTCCTCGACTTCATCATACTTAAGTTTCAGTAGCCATTCTGTAACTGTCTTTTTGAACTCATTAGAGTTCAGTGAATAAATGTTTAGTTTTTTGTTGACTACATTGTATAAATAACCAGCCTGTCTTTTAAATTGGTGACTAGCAAAATTTGTCTTGACTAGAGTTAATTCAAAAGCTCTTCCTCGTCTATTACTAGTTTTGCAGTCGTAGAAAGTTGTTTTATGTTTTGTTAACAACAAATTTAAAATGTATAACTTTCTAACACTTAGTAAACCACTAACTGAGTAAAGTTCTTCTGTAGGGAATCTGTATGATTTATTGTACATGACCTTTATTAATGATCGTTGACCACGTTCTAGTTGTAGGAGTTTAGTTTTCGTAGTACCACCCCAAACTGGTATACAATATGTTAAAATCGATTGGGCTAGTGCAGCATATATTTCATTTAATAATTTATGAGTTGCGACATGTCTTAGGGTCTTAAAGATCCAAATAAGTTTTCGTAACCTATTATTAGTTGCTTCTATATGTGAATGCCATGTAAGTGTTTGGTCTATTATAACACCCAAATATTTAGAGCTAGCTACTTTTTCTATAGTAGGACACGTGCAATTGTTACGCAAACCACAGTTGTGTATTTTGAGATTGTGTGTTATTGGTTGTGACCGTTTGTTAATGGAAAAACATATATATTTAGTCTTAGACGTGTTTAGGGTAAGCAAGTTTATTTCGAGCCAGTTCGCAACTTTGGACAGTCCAAATTCGGCTGTATCGTAGACTTCATCCCACGATTTACCCGTGAATACGATAGCAGTATCGTCTGCATATGAATAAATCTTACCATTGTCAAGTTTTAATCTACAGAGGTCATTAATATAAATGAGAAATAAGGTAGGGCCTAGTACACTGCCTTGAGGCACCCCAAAGGTTATTTGAAGGTCATTACTGACATAATTGCCTATTCTAGTGCTTTGCGTTCTGTTTCTTAAATAATCTCTTATTAATTCTAGTTGGGCTTCCCTTATACCGATCTTTTCCAACTTCTTAACAAGCATGGGAACAGAGACGGTGTCAAATGCCTTTTTTAAGTCCAAAAATATAGCAAGACATTTTTTGTTTTGGTCAAGGTGATCAACAATATATGTAGTTAGATCTATGACAGCGTTCTGTGTGTTTTTTCCTCTTCTAAATCCATATTGTGTTTGCGATAGAATATTATATTTATCTAAATACCGTATTAATCTGTTATTAATTAATTTTTCTAAGATTTTGGAAAAAGCTGGTAAGATGGAAATTGGCCTATAATTATTTATATCATCTCTGCTCCCATTTTTGTATACAGGTGTAATAATAGAACGTTTAAGGAAGGCTGGAAATACACTTTTAGAAAAACAGAGGTTAGCCAAGTGACAAAGTATCGGCACTAATAAAGAACTGGCCAATTTCACAAATTTTGTGGGTATGTTATCATAACCCGGAGTGCTATCGGATTTTAAGTTCATGAGTATACTAAGAACTTCATTAGGATCAGTATCTACGATGGCGAAAGATGAGAGCTGGTTATTAATTAAGTGTGCTGCAATATGTATATTGTGATCGTATGCTGTGTTCTTTTGAATGTCATCGGCAAGCTTACGCCCAATATTTGCGAACAAATTATTGACTGTATTAACTGATTGAGTAGGGCTTGATTCTATGTCTAATAATGCATTATTAGTAGTTTTATTTTCCTTAGTATGTGTAACATTTTTTATATTATTCCATAAGATTTTAGGGTTTTTTTCTAATAACAGTGTTCTTTCATATGAACGTTTTAACTTTTTAATACAGTTGTTACAGTAATTGCGATATCTTTTATAGGTTATTCTCAAAATTTCATCGAAAGGGTTGTTTTTAAGTTGTTTTTGCATTTTATTCCTATTTTGAATGCATCTGAGCACACCTGTAGTTATCCAGGGTTTAATGGTACGTCTACTTTTAGGAATACGGATAGTGTTAGTGTTTTCATGTAGAGATTCTGAAATTTTGTTTATTAACATTTCAACAATTCTATTAGGATCATCGCATAATAGTAAAATAGATAAATTTTTATTAGCTAGGCTATTAACCGCCTTATTAAAATCGATATATATTTTTGTTCGCGGAGAAGTTTTTATTTCTTTAATTTTAGTTAAACTAAAGAACACCATATAGTGATCGGTGATGGATGTATTTATTACTGCTATATTTGCTTGTGTCTTCTTTCTATTTAATTTAAGGATAACATGATCCAGGCAACTATTTTCTCTGGTAGCAATTGTATGTCCCGGTAACAAGCCGAAAGTAGAAAAGACATCTAGATAGTTAATTCTATTCTTTTGTTCACTATTTAGTTCATTAGGTTTTGGAATAAGATTTATGTTGATATCTCCAGTAATAATTATATTTTGATTGTTTTTAATGGTGTTGAGATGTTGTCGCAAAGATTCAGTAAATTTTTCAGTATTTGTATTAGAGGGTGATCTGTATATACCTAATATAATATTATTAAAGATTTCTATTTGTAAGCAAGATGCATGCTCTAATTTTATTTCTTTTATCTTAGGTTTAAGATTATTTTTATAGTAAACTGTTACTCCGTCATTTTGGTTAAGATGTTGCATAGTAACAAACGATGTGTAATTTGTAATTTGTGGCAGATGCTTATTGTTATCAAGCCTGCATTCTGTTAGAATTAACAGATCTACTTCAAAGGTAAGACTAGATAGTGTTAATTGCAAGTTGTCTAAGTTTTTATAAACACTTCTGATGTTCTGCGTGATAACTGTCAAGTCTTTTTTATTCAAACATATGAATTTATTCAAATCCTCAATATCGCATGATACAGAATTTGCAATTTCGGTATCGTCTATTTCTTTTAACATAATCAAAGGACTATCCATCATCATAAATAATGGAACTAATAACACAGAATTTGTATAGATTCTGGTGATATTTGTTTATGGTTTCCCTAATGTATTTTATCATAATGTAACATAGTAAATATTTTATCGTTACATGGCCAGTTTTATAGGTAGCTGTAATAAAAAATATAGTCTGAGGGTAAGTATTAAAATAGTTAAATGTACGAGTAGTAATAAGTAAAATGTAAGGAAGTGTGTATATTGGGGTGTTCGAGAGTTGAAGTGTTTTTTGTGTGATTTTATAATGTGTAAACTTAAGATTAATTTTAAGACATGCAAATAGTAAAATCGAATTATTATACTTATATCCTAGTAACAAACTTAGTAGTATGGAATATATTATATCTAGTCATTCTTTTTGTGATAATTGTTGTATTTGCCGTTCATCCTTAATGTGAATAATACGGGAGTTTTCATCCTTTCGTACGTAGACTTTCCCATAGGAAGTCCAGCAGAACTTGTAAGATTTGGACTTAACCAGGTCTCTTCCAAGAAAATACAAGCGCGATGCTTTGGCAGTCAGATTTTCAGATATAAATACAGGAATATCTTCAGATGTTCGAAAGCCTAGATGTTTTGCACAAATTTTTGATTTGTGTTTAATATTGAATGATTTGCTCATTTTGAGGAAGTCATTTTTTATTAGAGTTGAAGTCATTTCCACCACAATTGGTGTATTTTTCACTCCATCTTTTCTTACTCGCTATCTATATATATCTTTTATCTCCGCCCTGTTTATTTCGCAACCTATATTCTTTGAAAGACAAGTGATCATTTCTACTAAATCTTCTTTCGTCTCATTTTCTTTCTTTGGTACGTTCTTTACTTCAAAACTTGCTTTTCTCATCCCTTTCTGCATATCTTCTATTTTATCTTCTAGAATAGTTATATATTTTCGATCTTCTTGCGCTTGGATTTCTAATTTTTCAATTTTCTTTTTATATTCATCATTCTGTGCAGTGAGGAATGCAATGGAGTTTTCTATGTTCTGGTTAGATTTCTGAATATCCGCAAGTGTTGGTGCTATTTTTTTTAGTTCTTCTCCATGCTTGCTTGTCAAAGAAATTATGAGATTTTTCATTTCTTCCTTGAATATGGAAAATTCAATGCTAATATCTTCTTCGTGTCTCTTTCTTTTGCTGCGGCTTGTGACAATTTTAGTGGAGGAATTAGATTCAGCTTTATTTATTTCTGTC